TCGAAGTTTCACCTAACTCTCTGTTCGCTCTCACGTACGTAATTAGTTCCGTTGTCTGAACGGATTGTCTTAGGGTTGCCTCTTCTCCCACGAAACCTTCTCAACGTCCTGATGAACAAATCAGTACTCAGATCGTCTGCCACTTCCAGGTGGACCGCACGGGTAGTAAGGCACTTGAAGATACACCCCTACCTCTTCTCAGAAACTCTTTCCCTCTTGACACTAATTGGATCGAAATAATCTTCACCCATGTTGGTAAATGGAGGCTCGCAAAGGGCAAGTCGTTCTCTGGGTAAAGAGGCCATCACAGGAACGGTTGGCTTAGCTCTCCTTCTCTTGCAAAGAAGACATTCATTGATGGTTCTTCTGATAAATGACCTTCCTCGGAGGATCCAGAACTGTTGGCGCACGAGAGCCAGTATGTGCCCCCTTCCTACGTGGAAGTGTCTTTCGTTGATGTCTGGAACCAACAATCTGGACAGAGGATGTACAGGGGAAAGTAATGCTTGATGTTTGGCCGCAAATGGTATCGGAGCTTTAGTCAGCCGAACTCCGACTCTGATAATTCCATCAATGAGGACTGGTTGCAGTGGAAGTAGTGAACTGTTAGACGAGAGAGCTCAGTTCACTTGCAGATCCTCGTAGTCGCCCTTAAACGATTCAATTTGAGCTTGTTTACACACGGCTAGCGAGGCTTCTTCGAGTCGTCGGCGCTCAAACACATGGTGTGACGTTCTGGAGGCGGATTCATCTTCTCCCTTTTACATCTCAGAATGAATTTGTATCTCATCCACCAAGCGTACTGCCGACAAAGCTTTCTCCAAGAGGAGTACTTCTTCCATTGCACCATGTTTATAGATGAAGTAGTGGACACTGCAAGGACTGAGCCTTAATTTCTAGCTCAGTTTCATCCACAACTGGTACTTCCTTGGTACTCGGCCATTCTGCTTCAGGCAACATTAGAAATTCTGGACCACTGATCCATCGATATTGCGGAGTCAACTCCTGAATATCCTTACCTCTCGTGCAGCCATCGGCCACATTGATTTTGCCAGGAATGAGATGCCACTCCTTAAGGTCCTAGTTCGAGACGATTTCACCAACTCTGTGAGACACGTACGTGATAAATCTCCGCTGGATGTTGCTAAGGTAGTGAAGCACTGTCATGGAGTCACTCCAGAAATGCGTTTCGTCCATTTCAACGTCGATTTCTTCCACTATCTTAGACCTTAGCCT